ATGTATTTTTTTATGCAAAAAATATATTTTTTTATTAATTATGATTATAATCTACAACTTGATACTTTTGACTTTTCAAAAGTTAATAATCCTATGGTGGAAGATTTGGCAAATTGTTTGTCAGAACTACATACAACAATGAAGGCATAATTAATAGAAAGTCAAGAATAACAAAAGATCAACATGGATACCTATTAAAAAGAACAACCATAATTCAACGTAGATGACAAGATATGATTACTTTGTCGTAATATCAAGACTACTTATCCTTGTGATTAGTTGGACTACTTCAAGCTTGGACTTTTTTTTATTTGTAGACAAATCAATCTAGTTGCTTATTGATTATATCTATCGGAGTCAATAAAAATCAATCTTATATTTGATGTGTCTCTTTTTAAATCATATAAGATTGTGAATATACCAAAAAAAAGATAAGTCTTACCTCTTCTTATAAAAGTGGATAATAATAAAGAATTTGAAGTACAAGAAGGTCTAGATTTAAAGAGACACCATAATAAATTAGAATATCTTATCCATTGGTATGGATATGATATTAGTGAATGCACATAGGAGCCAACAAAGAATCTTGCAAATGTAGCAAAGATAGTGGAGGATTTTCATCAATAACATATATCAAAATTAAGATGAAAAATAAAAAAATCTTTGTTATAAAAGGAACATAATTCAAAAAATATTGCATTCTACCTTCTATCTTTATTTATAGTTTTTATATAATTATGGCAGTAAAGAAATAAAAAACCAACAATCAATGGATTCAACTCAAGAACCATTTTTGACTTACTAGACAAGACATTGTGATTATTGCAACCTTCAAGATGATGTAATAAGAATGAAGATCTTCAAAAACAATATGTTCTTGCTCAAATAGATGACAAGATACAACATATTTGGTATTACGACCTGAAAAAAGACTCTTGGTGTTTGGTGATTTTATTGGAAGTAGGTACAATTCCTGATGGTGTTATAAATATTTTGTTTGAAAGAAGTTACAAAGGTTTCAATAATGATCAAATCATAGAGTGGTCTTCTCGCCCTGAAATGAGACATTATTGATGGCTAAGAGGACCTATCAAAGATTCAAATATGTGGCAAATACAATTTGCTACATCTTAGACTTCATCAATATATGATCATTGCTCCTTGTAGAGTTCGGCCCTAGAAGAGAGGATAAGGTCACGGATTTATATCTACTTTGATTGTTATTTAAATGATATGAATAGATAGAAGTTAATAAAAGTAGATTAATTTCATAATATCTTTTAGAAAAGCTTCCTAGAAGCTTTGTAGATGTTGTTTTGACTTCATATGTATTTATAGTTTATTGGTACATTAGAAACTTAATCAATAAGTTAATCATGTGCCATATGGATTGATAGCTTGGAGAACAAATTAACTATGTGGCGCCCATATAAAAAACTTGCCTTACAAGTCAAGATATGTGTCATGCAAAGTCAACATGTTTTTGGAGGTCCTATAGAACATTGCCACATGGATCTTAGGTAGATAATATATATAGAGGCAAGAATGAAGCCTTCTTCACTTTTGTCAATTCCTTTCTTACTTCTAGTCTAGATTCAAGAGTCTCTAGTTTCTTTGTCTTTTAGCAATAGCCATTCTAATTTCCTTTTAATATACATACTTTTTTATTTCTATTTTTTCACTTTTCTTTTAAAACGGATTTCATAGGTTTATGCATTTTCTTTTAGTTCATGTCCTTGACATAAATCTAATTGATTTTATGCAATAATGTTATATCTTATGACTTATTTTTCTATATTATAAACATAATTTTTTAAAATATTTTTTTTATAGGTGATATTTATTTAAATTAAATTCTATTAAAATATGTAAATTTTGGTAATAATAGATATTTTTTTAAAGACTTGAGAGTCGTTAAAATAACTTAATTTTTCTTCTTCAACCAAATTTTGTTCTTAGTATTTTTTAAAGATTTGATTATTGCATGGAATCACTTTGATAATAAATTGTTTTAATAAATTTTCTTTTAGAATTGTCAACAATAGGTCTTTGGAATTATTTTTAAAGAAATAAAAATTTAGATTAGTACGAGTCTTATTATTCTTATTCATATTGTAAGAAAATTATTAAAATTCAACAACATAAAAGATTATAATCTTTAAAGAATCTTAATGTATTTTAAAAATCTTCAAAATTTTGATATTTTTTCATCAAACTTCTTTAATATACTAATCTTTGGCTACTTAACACTTATAATAGTAAGACTTTTAGAATTAATTTATAAAATTGAACTACTTATACTTTTTTTTGATAACTGCAAGTATAAGTATTTCTTGGCATAAATGCAAAGTATTTCTTGGCATAACTGCAAAGTATTTCTTGGCATAACTGCAAAATTTCTTGGCATGAATAATAGACCTCATTCTTGACTTTTTCTATAGATATAGCAATGATACTTCTATGGTTGAGACTACTAATATGTGAAAGTTTTTTCAAAGAATATTAAAAAGCTCATGAAGATCCACAATAGTTGCAAATCTATTCTTACTTCTACCAAATATAACATCTATAGTTTGTTTTTCTTCTATCTAAGTAATGAAGAACATCAATATATACATAAGTCAATTTATAGGAAGATAATCTACAACCTCCAACACAAAATGAAAATTTCTTCATAAAAAAAATAGTCCACTCTCTTTAAGATAAAATCAATGTTAAAAAACCAAAATGTTTATTAAAAGATGGATAATCTAGAACTTTTAAAGAACAAAAATATTTCTTAAGAAGTGGAAGAAAGTCTTTGAAGAAAAAATACACTATTATATCATTAAAAGAAAGAAAGTAGAAAAATAAGAAATAAATTTAAGAAAAAAAATTAAAATTCTAATATGAAATAATTAAAAATATATGTTGATATGAAGTATTTTAAATTCTTATCATTAATATAAAGTATAATTGAATAAATCTATTTTTATATATTAATATCATTCATAGAATGAATTTATAATAATAAAAACTTTTGTGTTGTAAATATTATAATTAATCTTAGTGGTTAAAAAAAATCTTAAATAAAATGCATTAGAATAAATTTTATCATATATTTCTATTTAAAATAAAATTTTACCTAATAAAAAAAATTGTTATATCTATTTGTATAAAAAACCAATATGAAAAAAATTCTTAGTAGAATAAAATAGAAGCTAATGTAAAAGCTTTTTTTGAACTTTGAAATATTGCTATTGTGTCTTTATTCTATTTTATTTTATTTTTAGAAGTATATTGTATAAATAGATTAAAAACTTAATAAAAAATTTAATATAATATGTAGCTCTTAGAATTATATAATCTATACTATTTTATTTTATTTTTTAAATCTATTTACAAATTATCATTTTGAGATGATATATTCCAAAAGTTCTACTTAAATTGAGTAAAATACACATTTTTCTAAATTAGCATATAATCTTGTATTTTTTAAGTTTTTGTAATATAAAAAATATATATATTAATTATGTTCTTTCATATTTTTTGAATAGATAAAAAAAATGGCTAAATAGCACACAAATTAACTATCTATAACCTTAAAAATATATAAATCTTTAAATATTGAAAAACAAGTGGAGTATTTATAAGTCCAAAAAGCATGACACTATATTCAAAATGACCACATGTAGTTTAGAGAATAGTCTTTTGTTCATCTTTTTTTTAATACATACTAAATTATAGGATTCTTACAATTTTATTTTGGTATATATCTTAGCAAATCTTAAATAATCAAGAAGTCCCAATCTTATCATAAAATGAAAACAATTATTAATGGTCAATTTGTTGATTGCATGATTTTGATTGTTTTGAATATGTAAAAACTAAGTGCTTGTCATCTAAACCTTTTAGAACAAAAAGTATTTGTTTTAAGAATTAATTATTATCCATTTGTGTATAAATAAGAATATATAATTTTGGAACTTTAATTCTTATAGGTGGTATATTGGTATTACCAAAAATTAGCTAATATTTTGTAATAATTATCATAGCTTTAAATTCTATGTGGTACAATTACATAGCCCAAACAGTATTATTTATTGCATCACGTATTTGAAATAAATAAATAAAAGTAAAAATTTGTAAAATTTTTATGTGACTGGAGCATCAATATAAGAATAATATGTTATTCTTTTGAAAATTTTGATAAACTATTTGTTTGTAAGAGCTGTAGTTGTATTATCAAAAAGAAAAAAGAAAAAAAGAAAAAAAGAATCAATTAATATTTACAAGTTAATAATTACAAGTTTTAATTTTGACAGTTTATTAATTAATCAAGATTCTTAATTATAATCAATTCTTAAATTTATCTAACTTATATATCTTTATTTATATTTATTGAAACATTCTTTAATGTTTTTTACTCGTTATTCTTTTTAGGTTAGGTTTTCTAATAAAACATGTGACGCAAACAGTTGCTTTTGTAAAAACACGTATCACCAGATTCATGAGGAGGATGGATACATCAGGTGGGTCGTTGTAGTTCCAGAACACTATATCAAACAGAGCCGCTAAAACTACCAGAGTCGGGTTCAACACAAGTGATCCACAAGCCTAGATGCAGACTCACAAGGAACGTCTTCTGCTGCTGCTGCTGCTGCTGCTGTTGAAGAAAATTGTGCATTTGGTAGAAATTTAATTCTATATTTTGCCCTGATCTTTCACCGGGATGCTCTGAAAAAAAGTAAAGAGATTGGCTCACGAGAGGTAGGTTCTAAACCAATGTACTAATTCTTGGACTGCAAAACTGGTACAAAACACGTTCGTTCGTGTTTTTCTGCATGACCTAGTTCGAATCTGGTAATTGTGTGTGGAAGTTCGCAGCTACTGCATGGGTTGTGCACTTTATGAATCGCCACACTGTAGATTAGGACACGCTCGGTGGATTGAGCCAAGGACAGGAAACTCCAGCGAAAACCTAGTAGAGCACAAGAGGGGATAATTGAGTAGCACTCCCATCATTTGATGACTTCGATCATTTGAATTTCGCCATTTCTGAACAGATATTTGGTACAAAGAAAGTTGGGCACAAAACAAGCTGCAAAGCTAGAGGATTACTAACCATATGTGTTCAGTCATTACCATCTTGATGATTTTGATGTTTTCTCGTCATGGAAATGTAACTTTACTTTTGAACCGAGGCTTAAAAGCAGAGCAACACTCAACCTAATATTTCCGCAACACACTACAAGAGCTTTTTCCTCTCAAAAAATGTCTTCAGATGCCATAACTGCCATCCTGCTACTCCTAGGCACACGAAGAGAGACATAATCCCAAACCATGCCACTCTTGAGTTCGTTAGTTCATTCAAGTCACGCATCTCCGCCTCCCTGCAATCGCCACAAACACTTTTCATTAATCATCCACAGATTTTCTACCTCACGGCCACATGGTCGAAGACCTTAAAAACAGCCAGAGAAGAGAAACCTCGTCTAAAAGTTGTAAGTTACATCATAGTCGTGCTGCTAATAGAACTCTAACAACAGACAGTACCTCTCTCGCAAATACAGCATCTCACTGTGGATTGAACCCACAGCTTCCTCCAACTTTCTCAACTCAAGCTCCATTCCCTGCGAAAAAGCAGGCAAATTCCAAACATTTGATCAAGCCATTGCTAAACTTCGCATACGACCAGGCGCATTAAACAACACCTTCAAGGAAGTAAACGTGGACCTAATCAAAAACTGCATATCAAAAGTGAGAAAACATCTAGTTAATTGTCTTAGTGTAGAACACGGACTGTTCCCTAATAAACCACATTCATTTCTAAACAAATCACTACGGTCTCAACATACAATTGTGCAAAAAGGCAAAAGCTACTAGGAAGAAGAAGCCTTCTGAACATACATCGAGCTTATCCTTCTTCGCGATAGATGCCCAATCTTTGGCAGCGACTCCTGTCTTCCAGTCCAGAGCGACATTGACAGTCGCCGTAGAAGGAGCATTCAGCATCCAAAAGCAGGCCATAAAATTGCCGGTTTCTGAAGTTGTAAATGCAAACTGGCCCGACTGGACATTCTCTTGGTAATGTAATTGATTTCCATAAGGCGAAGTTACCTGCGCATTGTAATAAGTAGTACAAAAACCTTAACGTCGGTCAGAAACCGTGGGCAAGTTCAGAGAAATCGCACAAAATAAGATTTCAGAGCTGGGGAGAGTCATTCTTCCTGGAATTAATGACACGGAGGCTTTTTTGCAAATAAGGACCGAACGTTTCAATTCTTTCACTTGGAAGTCAAATATGCAGCCACTCGACAAAAGACTGATAGATTTCGTCACCGGCACCGATCTCGTTTTCATGGAAACTGCAGACTACTATTTGAACAAGCTACATGTTTCTCAGACGAGGATGCACATAAATGGAGGCAAGATGTGAAAAGAGCTGCCACAGCTTCTCAACCAGAACCATGAAAGTGGAGGTTATCAACACCCTACCAAAAATCAGCACAAATTTTCAGACGTCTCTAAAAATCCCCATCTTCGCCAGAAATTTCTAAAACATCAGCTTCGTCCCGATCGAGATAATTAGATAGTAGGAGACCGAGCAGGTGCAGAAAAAATGAAATTTTTAATGATTTTCAAGGTGGCAGCCATAGTAATCGGACCGACTTCCCATTACCGACAACACAATTTACTCTGGTCGAAAATAACATCCTCCAATAAGAATCCCCAACACCTCGAGCCTACCAACAAACAGCAACCGCCACATACACACACGAGAGAGAGAGAGAGAGAGAGAGATCCAGAACCCTGCCTCCAGTAGCCACCCACATACCTTCACGGTGATCTTATGCGATTCATCGCTGTGCACGATCTTGTAGTCCCCGACCACAACCACGTGGTTCTGAATCTCCTCGGCGATGCACTTGGTAGTCCGAGCGCTCACCTCAAACTGCACAGCTTGTGCCACGGATCCCCACACCAGCACCAACGCCACCACCACAACACACGATCGAAAACTCCATACTCCACCCATTGCCACCCAGTAGTGCTCCACCCCCAATCCTCACAAACACACACACACACACACACAGTAAGTGCACGCGACGATCACTTGCTTTGCGATTGAGCTCAGTCAGTGGGTGAACCCGCGACAGAACCCTAACTTCAGCGTGGGTCATGGCATGTATTGTTCCATGGGAGTGCGGTCATAGGATCCCCGACCTTATTCCCGTGCGGACTTGGAAGTCAAGGGTCCGCCACGTCGGCTTCGATCCCCTTTTGATATTGCATCAGTCCTGTAGACTTGCGGCGAATCGTTCTGCCACGGTGGCGTCACATCGCCACCTCTGCGCCAATCACATCGCTCGCCTGCTGTCACGGGTGCTGCCACTTCCCGGTGACTGCAAATCGTTCCGTCCCCCCGATGGATGGGTGTGCGAATGAACGTATATTTGGACGACATTCGCTAAGGAGACGTGTTTCTTTGGTGATGCGCTCGCTGGCGTGTTTGGATGAATGATTATCGTTGATAAATGAAGCTTCCCATCCTCTTTCATTCTGCACAAAGCCCAACTGGTCACTCTAATAACAACAAGATATTTCATGGGCTCAATTATTTTTGCATTGAAATGATATCTTATATATTGTTCAGAAACACCCAAGTCTTGAGAAAACTCAATTTTTAATTTATACATGTATATAATTTCATTTATTATTTTAAATGACACAAATAAAAGGATACACGAATAATTTATTATCCATGTGATTACAGATAATCATGCCTTGCATTGGATGTAGATACCTTGTATACGTGAACAATGTGTTGTTTAATAATGTGATTTCATATGCATATCTTCAAAAACATTAGTGTAAATAAGATTCTTATTAAGTATATGCACAGTGCATGGCATAAAAGAGATGTCTGTGCAATAAAAGGGGATGTCCAGATAACAATTCCATAATTTACTGCATAAAAATGCATGCATTAGAAATAGTAGTGTTAAGGTGTCATGCAAAACAAATATTGTTAAACTAAAATATCTGTAATATTTTGTGAAAAGTTATAAACTTCAGATTAAAACTTATGTGTCATACACAGATTTTTTTGATTTATGGATCTTAAATAAGTCGTGACATTTATCATGCTTCAATCAAATTTGTAGCAGTGTGCTGAATATCATAAAATAAAATAAAAAATACAGGTACACATTTATATTTTCATGATAGAATTTGGCTCTTATTTACACTAAGTAAATGTATTGATTATTTAAATAAATAAATAAAAATAGGCATGTTCATAAAAAGTTTTATAAATGTCAAAGCATGTATAACAAATTGATAAACAATGCTCGATTTATAAAAAATGTGGATTTTAAATTTATTTTATTTTTAAAATGTCCCAAATAATATTCCAAGACGGACTTCGAAATTTTGGTTTTTTCCTTTAAACATAACTGACATGGATTTGAGAATAAGAAATATTGTTGAACAACATCAAAGAGGAAGAACCAGTTCATCATGTAATGACGTTTTCAGCTTATCGTGTAACGAATAGAAAATCAATTGTTCAATCTTATCATTAGCTTTACTTCAATTTCAGACATGTCCGGAAAATAAAATAAAAATAAAAAAACAAAGTATTTGAAGTCATATTCAAACAGAGGATATATGAGAATGCAGTACACATGTAAAGATGTATCCAAAGGATTATCGTAGAAAACCCTCGAAGTTGTCGAGCATTGTGTGTTGCGGAGGCCGTCGGCTCAACGGCGCTCCACCGCCAGTAAACGCATGCGTTGCCAGCTTCAGCGTTGAGAGCTCCACCGTCGGAAACATTGCTCTGGAAGGCGATGATGCCATGCCGTCGAAGGTTTACTCATGCAGTGTTCGACGCAGAACACACCACTCCTACTCGAATCTTCTCACCCGCCATTCACCACAGCTTTCATTCATTCCCTAAACCTTCCTGCTCTGATCCATTTTCTCGTTAACCTCCGGCTTGATTCTATCTTCGTTCCCGACTCTTAGCTTGCTTCTTGCTCTCAACCTCTTCCTCGCAACTGATTGCGTCCTCTTCCTCCGCTATCACTCACTCACCGCAAGATCCCGGCAAATTTCGTACCTCTTTAACTGACGTTTCCAGAGCTATGTCTGAAAACGCGCGCACACCAAACATTTCCAGAGAACGTCGCTGATGTATCCAACTCACCTCAACGAAGAGCCCAAACGTGTTGCACTCAATCAAAACCCGCAGAGTCACAAATCCGCTGCTAACAGCGCACAAGACGAAACAGTGCCCGAGCAATAAAGTGCAATGAATCTTAAAATAGCTTGTGATTATTGGTAGATTTCCGCAATCTTGACGATGGCGTAGATTTAGGGTCGCAGTTGAGAGATCTTTCTCCGTCGACCTCGACCAAGACGTCCGTCTAGGCGCGAAGAAGCACTTTGTTTCGTTGTTGCTTCCGAGCACATGAGCGCGTCCTCCGATCCTTTTTGTGTGTGTGTGTGTCTGTGTGTCTGTGTTTTTTTTTTTTTTTTTTTTTTTTTTTTTCTTTTCTTTTCTTTTCTAGTGTCGCTGGCTGCGTGTGTATAAGAGCATTTTGACAGGATCGGGACGCAGCCGTAAGCTGCATTTGAGGGAGAGTTGAAGCTGTGAAGCAGGGGGCCGAACTTGCAGGGAAGCGGGTCACTATGGGCATATTTGTGTCCAGGCTGTTGGCGACGTTGTTTGGAGATAAGGAAGCGCGTATTCTTGTCCTTGGTTTGGACAACGCCGGGAAGACGACCATCCTTTGTATCCATTTTTAAACCGGACTGTTCTCGAGGTTTTGCTGCTTAGGGTAATCGCGGCATTGTGACACTATTTACAAACCTAGCATCTGGTTCTAGGTCGATGCGGAGACAATAAAGATTAGTTTCGGGAGTAAATAGTCAAGCTTAGAAGGTGTGCGGGGGCGAGTTGTGGAGGATACATTTGCTTGCGCCGTTTTGTGATAAAGTTTGAGTTCATCTTGCTTCTTTTGTTCGCTATGAGCTATTTTTAGGAGATCATGTGATTATTTGGTTTAGGGTGGTGGTGTTTGTCACCTCATTGAAGGAATGTACACATTTGTTACCTTAATCACTCTGAACAGATCGATTGCAAGTCGGAGAGGTCGTCTCAACCATTCCTAGTAAGTAACTTTTGAGATTTATTTTGGAATTTTCTAATGGTAGCCGTGTACGTTGTCCTTACATCAGTTCTACGAAGTGTGTAATATATTCAGCTCTGTGTCTTTTCTTACTGTGATTTTATTAGTTTTTGCTGGACCAAGGTAGACTTGTCAGGAGTGCACGATTTAATGTGCCTAGTTTTACTTGTCAATTTTTCTTAAAAGCATTCTGTAATTTTTTTTGCTGCAATCGGTTTATTGACTTGGAAGTGTCGAAAATCTACACATTTTCTTTAAAGTGAAGCATAAGGTGGTACAGTCTTTCCAAACTTAGAGGCTTTGACGTGTATATGCATGTTACCTCCATTCGTCCCAGACGTGTTGTGTGCATACCTGATCGCAATTCCTGTATTGTGGTGGTTGCAGCTATTGGCTTTAATGTGGAGACTGTGCAATACAACAATATTAAATTTCAAGTTTGGGATCTAGGTTCGTGTCGCGAGCACAGGATTTTTTTATTTTTTATTTATAATTTGGTAATTTAAGTTTTTTATTCTCTCATGTGAATGTCACCCTTGTGTGTCAGGACTACGAGTTCAGTTGCAATTTTTTACGTTTCAATTCGTCCTGTCATTTCTCCTTGCTATGTAGTCTATATTATTTTGTGGTTCTAACCATTTGTGATTATGTCAGGGGGTCAAACGAGTATCAGGTAACTTATTTAACTCCCGAATTCAGGTTGGAATTTCTATTTTGATGAATGATTTCTATGAATTGTGACTCTGACTTCCGAATGAATCAAATCGTAATTTTGTTTGGGAAATTTTTGCAGACCTTATTGGCGATGCTATTACCCAAACACACAAGCAATCATCTACGTGGTAGACTCCAGTGATACAGAACGCATGTCCACGGCTCAAGATGAGTTTCATGCTATTCTTCAGGTAATAATTGGTACTGCCTTTCGTGAGTAGAAACTAGATCTGAGCAATGCCGCTGTGTACTGTTGATGTTTTGCACACTATACATCACTCGTGGTTGACGTGTAAATTAAGCATTATCGTGGAGGGTACTTTGGGTAGTTGAAGTGCCAGCTTCTTTGTGATCCGTTGAACCTATCGCTTGAAGTTCACTTAAGGCTTGGATACACGAAGCTTTGTGCCCGTATTGTGGACTGCTTACTGAGTTTAGTCAGATGATATTTCATCGCCTCGAACTAAGGAATCAACTAGTGACCTGCTGGATCGGCAGTTTGTTTAGAGAACCTAGTAACGAGACAGGTATGTCAGGGTGGCACTGACCAATCAATAGATTCTGATAATTTATATTTAAGTTTCTGAATACGCTAGATCTCTTCATAAGGTAGATTTGGATCCTGAATGTCCACATGCAGTATGGATGTTGCTGCCTTGGTTGATGACATGATATGGTGACTATCCACCGTACTCTAAGAGATTGTTCTCATGGGTTCTTAAATCCATACCCCGGATAGCTTGAATTCTTTAGTATATTAATACCTCTATCACTTCCTCATTTGGGACTAGTGCATGCTGTCGACCAGGGTGAAGAGTCTCTTGCAACTTGATCGTTTAAGATATGGTCCTTGTTACTTTTTCATAAGGTTACTCTCGACATGCGTTTATGTAATGCTAACGAAACCAGCTCCGCATACATGCATGCTTAACTGGAAAATATTTGAGGTACGATATCATATTGGGTGAAATACTGTGGTGCAGTGATTCAGTTGCATTGTGCTTAGCTAACACTAAAACGTTGTTACTCGAGTGTTTTGACAGGAGGAGGAGCTGAAAGATTCTGTGATACTTATTTATGCAAATAAGCAGGTATGTTGATGCTGACTTTTCAATTTGCTGCATTGGTAGGTTTGTTCAACATCTCTGTGGAATGCGCCTAGTGTCAAGCTCGCCTATTAATATATTTAACGTATCCATTATTGCCATTCCTGTATCAAATTGCTTGTGACCGAAGAGTGAGTTTCACTTGAAGCAAATTTTAGTTAGTTTGCAGTGCGCAATGATGTGATACGTGTGAATGCATCTCCTCTGGTTGGCAGGATTTGCCTGGAGCCCTCGATGCAGCAGCTGTTTCAGAGGCATTGAATTTGCATACTATCAAAAACAGGCAATGGTCCATATTCAAGACCTCAGCCATCAAGGGTGATGGACTTTTTGAGGGCTTGGACTGGTACAATTCTGAAACACTTACAACGAATGTTGTGTTTGGTAAAGTTCTATATTATGGGCATAGAGCATGTAACAAGTAGATTTAGGCTTATGTATGTTAACGGGATGAATGTGAAAAGTCTAGAGGTTTCGGTTATCGTGTTTTTGTTTTACTTCATTCTAAACAATTTTTCTAGATTCAATTTGACTTTGTACTAAGCAGCTCCCTATCCTCCAGTGTTTCTTTGTAGTTGGAGTTCTTCCTGTAGTACGTGCATTAACATTGCGTTCTTTTAAGGGATTGTGAATCCCCGCTAGTATGGACTTTTAAATTTATCATCTTTGGAATTTGTGGGCAGGCTCAGCAACACTCTGAAGTCGGGGAAAAAGTAAACATACTGTAAGTGTAATCTTTCAACATCTTGTCCTTTGCAGTATATGTGATGGTATCAAATCTCAAGGATTATAAATTTCACTTGTTCACTAGCATTCACATGTTCCATCCAGTGGCTGGATTTCCTATAGTATCTTGTCTTTTCATTTATGTTGCTTTCATTATACAAGATGCTTGATCGTGAATTCCATCTGCATATACACTATCTGTATCAAGAATGTACATTGCATTTTGATCCATCACAGAGCATCAAAACTGCACCTGACTTGTTTTCCATGTATGTGGATTTGACGTGTGAAGGGAATTTGCTCTTTGCAACTTGGCAGTTCACAACGATCATTGTGCAGTGGATCGTGAGATGTTAGAGAGGGAAGCAGTGCTGGTATGAGGATCCTGCAATAGGTGAAGCTTTGTATAGATCATTTTAAGTAGGCTAACATGTGGCACATATGGGCATTAAAGAGATTGCAATTTGTAATGATAAGATTCAAGTAAATCCACAATGTTTCTGTATTGTGGATGATCATGTTCTGTAGACTTTCTATGGTACAACCTCGGTAAAATTCTCTACAGTTAAACTACAGTCGTATCAGACATTCACATGAAACTATCAGTTCACATCTCGAGTTATCTAGTTCCGTTAAATTAGTAGATCACGAAGAAGACCACAGCTGGGGATCACACAGTGAAACCTGACGTTGATCACTGTTGAGCCCAAATAGGCAATTGCATCCTGGCACTTATTGGTCTTGAGTCATCTTTTTCTTACTGCCTTGTTTGGTTCTCGTAAAAGGGTCTGTTTAATGTGTTCATGTGATGGATAGAGTCATGCCACTGTCATCTCATTTCTGAGATATCAATTTCCACCCAATGTGTTCCAAAGTAGTCCCCATATTTATGGTTATAGCCTGAGGATTTGTTATTGAGATGACACTACGTATTCCACAATGAACCTTTACATGGTTAAGCATTCAAATGAAGAACTCAGAATTGACTATTGGGATCCTTCGCACCCAAACTAAATATACGATAATATGTAACCATGAACGAATGCCTCTGTTACAACAGATCTACACTTACGTATATAATACATATTTCATATTCTCAATAACGTTACCAATCTCAACCAATGAATTATTTACACTTCAAAACATCAAACACTCTCGCGCACATTTTAGGCTCAGCTACTTCAATTACATCTCCACGTAGATCAATAGCGGTTAGTGGTACCCACTATCGCACTGCTCCTGACCAACAAGGCAACACTGGAGCCGATTACGCGTGGACCTTTCCTCCACGTCAGATTTACAGGGATCGATAAATGAGTGACGTGGAATAGGAGGGGTCGTGAGGCCTCAGGGTTTCCAGTTAGGGTTGCGAGGAGCGTGCGTTTTTCTTTGCTTCGCCGAATGCGTCGTCGCCATCGTCATTTTCTTCTTCTCCTTCTTCTTCTCCTTCATCATCTTTATCGAGGCTGTCGTCGCACGCGATAGCGTTTTCCTTTCATAGTTGAGAGTGCCGCTGCTGGTCCGTATCGCCCGAGTGCGCACCGCTGTGAAGGCTTCGAAGCGTGCAGAGTAGCAGCCTCCGCCATGGGGGGGATAAGGGATTTCCGATGGGGGGACGCAGCGGAGGAGGACGACGGAATCGAGGGCGTCTTGCCGCCCACGCAAGTCATCGGCCCTGACGAGAAGGGTATCAAGATTATTATTGAGTGGAGGAAGGACGACGAGGGGAAGCGTACCAAGGTCACCAAGACTGTTCGCGTCAAGAAACAGGTATGGCCATGTGGGTGAAATTGTGCGGCTTGTGCGTCGTTTTTGGACTCGGTCGGTAGAGGGGTTAGCTTTGGGTTCTTTATGACTTGTTTTTGTGATTAGAACTTGCTTTTTAAGGTGTAGCTGAGGTTGCGCTACCGTGCAGTCGTTAGGGTTGAAGCTTTAGGGTATAGGAATGGTGGGGCAGAAGTTTATGAGCTCGTTCGTATGAACAGGTGAAGAAGCTGAATCCGGCCGCTATTCGAAGGCGGTCTTTGAAGAAGTTCGGTGACGCACTTTCTCAAAATGCATCTGAAAACCGAACGGTAGTCTCGACTGAGGAAATCTTTCTGGAGAGAACCAGACCAGCTGGTGCCAAACAAGAGGCGGAGAAGGGTGCCGATCTTGCGCTGCTTGGGAATGCTTCACTTATCGTCTGCAGGACGTGTGGAAAGAAAGGAGATCACTGGACCTCGAAGTGCCCCTTCAAGGAGTTGGCTGCAAGTAAGAACTTCCCTGGTGCAGGTGAGAAGCCACCGACTGACGAAGATGTTCCAGGCATGTCCGGCGGCGCTGGAGGTAAGGGATCTTATGTGCCTCCTAGCATGCGTGGCGCGAAGGGTAACGAAGGAGAGAGTATGAAACGACCTGGAAGAGATGACAACTCTATCCGAGTTACGAATCTGTCGGAGGATACTCGTGAACAGGATCTTCAGGAGTTGTTCCGACCCTTTGGTAACATTTCTCGTATTTACGTTGCTTTCGACCGTGAAACCGGGCTCAGCCGTGGTTTTGCTTTCATCAATTTTGTCAATCGGTACGGATTTCGACTCTTGTTAAATCATCTACTTTCTAGATTATAATGTTATTAATTTCACAATTGTTGGTATCTGGGGCTCTAGTGTGGTTTGCAATGATGGCCGTCGTCATCATGGAGAACACTATGCTGAACATCAACAACCTTGTTAGTTGTAGCTTAGTGAATTCACTCACAAATGCGATGTCATACTTTGTCAACTGTATAGCTACCTGCATAATTGTAGAATGAATGGAACTACCTGGTGAAGAAGAATGACCTGTTACCAATACTATGAAAACTTATTTCATGTTCATTGGTGCAGGGATGATGCTATTCGAGCAATCAATAAGTTGGATGGATATGGATACGATAACCTCATTTTGCGTGTGGAATGGGCGACCCCCCGGGCGGATAGATCTTAGAGTACTTGGGCTTTTGCATTTCAGACTGTATTACAGGGGATTCTGTTTTGAGCCTTGGAGCTTGCTGTGGGAAGCTTCAACTACGTACTAGTTGCTGGGATTGTTTTACTTTTTGGTACTTTAATGCGGATCAATAAATTCTGCACGTTTAACACAGATTGTCTATGTGTGAGTACTCGTTAAGAATTGCATTTTAGGTTTTATGTGTTACAGTCGAGTATCACTTGCACTTTCGTCTGGGTAAACTCTGTTGGCATGAAACTAAGCTGCGCAAACTCATGAGTTCATCTTGATAGACGGGTTGCAATCACTCAATTTGCGAGTCTAACGGAAAATCCTGCTTTTCTGCTTAAACCAAAACCCAGTTGAGTAGTTGCATCAATCTTGTGAGTGAGAAACCAATGACCCCAAAGATTTCTTTTCTGGATGGTATGTAGTTTTTTAGAATGAAGGATATAGGTGGAACACTGATGATAGTAAATTCTTTTAAATCCGCATAGTAGTTTGTTAGTAGTATCTGGCGGGTATGGCCTTGTTTTAGATATACTCCCTCCGTTTGATAACGTATGAGATTCAGACTTTTGAATGTCTATCTTTTCCTTTCGAAAGTGATATACTTTCAAGTTACTTCTAAATAGTAACAGTTTGATGTGAGTAAATTTATATGGAGGGGATTTGTTTATTGGTTAATCAATAGTGCTGAATAAAAACGAACACATTTATGCTACTTCTATTATTAAAAGCAAAAATATAATTGCATTATAAAACCCCGAGTTCAATCACAAAACGTGTTGTATATTAAGAGTGGAAAACCAACCACTGTGTTTGTGTTTGAAAGCTTAAAATGTATTGTGAATCTCAACTGTACATCGTTTTCACAAGACAAAATAAAAGATGGTGGCCAAATGTCAAATGTCTATTGTTTCTTACCATCAATGTCATGTTTACTTCAATTTTTGTTAGAAGAATTTAAGGACACAAAAAACTTTCAAAGATTTAAACAGTTCTTTTTAATCTTATGTAGCTTGTTCAACTTTAAGAGAATTAAAAAATAAGAATAAAAACTGCAACAGTTCAGTTTTAACAAGTGATGTTTCATGACAATCAAGTTATAAATTTCCAAAGTAGAAAATCATGATGTCTGAAAAAAATAAAATAAAAGTTAAGATAAAAGTATAAGAATAATCTTTACACTTTATTAAAAGTAGCATTAAAAAATGTTTGAACAAATGACATTGTGATCAATATCTAGTTAGAAATGTTGTCTTTTGGAATTAAATTGTGGCATGGAAAACTACCTAGTTAATAAAAAAATTACAAACATAGTTTATTTTTATGAAAAAAAAATAGTTAAATTACAAACTTTGAAACTGAACTATAATATTTGAAATATTACAAAACACCCAAGATAATCGAAGTAGAAAAAGAAAATTAATGAACTTTATTGAAATCAAAATATTAGTAAATTAAAAAATATTTACTATTGATGTTAATAGCTATAATTTTGTTTAATCAGCATAGAGAGAAAGAATGAATTTCAAATACAAATCATATAAGATGTTTCATTATTGATGTCTATTATTCAAAAACGTAGAAATAGTTTAAATAATTTTTAAGGGAAGAGGTACTATTTTATAGTGCAGGTTTGGTAAAATAATTTGAACAGGAAAAAAGAGTATTAAATTATGTCACATAATTGTGAAATTATGTATGTATGTATGTATGTATGTAGAACGTAAACAATTTATGTAACTTGTGCAATCATAAAATTAAAATTCAAATATTATAACTCGGTGATGTTTTTGTGCAAAGCTTACTCTTAGAGTGAATGTTGTATGACTTTTATTTTATTTTTTTAATCTGTAAGGATGTTACAGAATACAAATATCATCTAGAAAATAGTCCTTTTGTTTTAAACTTTTACTTCAAATTTAATGTCTATTTAATTTTTTATTCTAAAATCTAATTTTACTCAAAATCATATATATATATATATATATATATATATACATACATGTGATTATGATTTTTTTAGTTTTTAAAAATATTATTATTATTCACCTCAAAACTTCTATTAATAGAATATATACTTAAAATATTTTTTTTACATACTTATAAAAAGTATAACTTATATTTTTATAATTTTAAATGTAAAGTAGGATGTGTAGTTTGTAATAAAATATACAAATTAATTATGTGATATTTTTCTTTATTATAATATTAGTATAAGAATAATTATATGTGGTTTGAGTTTCAAAAATATTTTTATAGAAATAACTTTAATTATATATATACATGGAAAAATCTTCATATCAAAGAAAAAACTTTCAATGAATTCATCATTAATACTAATAATATATTAAATATATAAGTAAATGTGAAAGTAAAATAAGTAACATTGTAAAAGATATTACTTTAAATAAGTTGCTATTGATTAAACAATTGGCTCTTGGTATGTAAAAAGGCCAAGAGATAAAGTAGATGAATGGACCAAGGATCTTAAGAATATAAAAATATGCTAAAGGCATCTTTTCATAATAGATAAGACAACAATAGATAGTCTCAGTAGAATGTTGGATGGATGCATTCATCAAAGGGTGGAAGTTGTCCATTAGGGCAGCAAATATCACCTACAAGTAACAGATGTTGGAAGTGAGAGATATCTTACTACATACTCTCTTTGTGTGCAACCTTGCTGATACTAAGAGTTGTGACTTCATAGTGTTGGTTCTTCAATAGGTTATGGCTCCACTCATCTTTAATTGTGAGTTTTGAAGTTCTTTAAAGTCTTACTTATTGTGAAGAATAGATCTTTTGGTTGTTGCTAATGTTAGGGTTTGATATGATCTAACTTCATTGTTATATCTAATTGTTAATGTAATTTTGCTCTTACTTGTTGTTAAGTGCATTGATAATTTTGGAGGTTGTTAAATACTTTAAAATAATGTTTTAAAACACTAGTATTGTGTTTCTTTGCTGATTTATATCATTTGTGATCTAGCATTGTGTTTTTATGTAGTAAACTTCCCTTGAGATCTTTTTATAGTAATAAGAAGTATTTTATAAAATTAGAAGTATTTAATGAAAGAAGAAGGATGATTGAAGAGTGGCAAAGCTTATACAAGAAGTTTAGATAGAATATAAGACTTGTGAGAAGTCCTATAAGTGAAGTTGATAGTGATTTAAAAGTGATATCACTAATTCACTTACAAAGAGGGCATTTTGGGTTTTTAAGATAGCATCTTCTTGTTAATTTTGAGAGCTCTTTCTTGTCTTTTTTTGATTTTCTTTGATATACCTTTTTTTTAGTCATAGCTTCAAGTGAAGGTGAAGATTTGAGAGTGATTGAAAAATTTAGGGGTAACAACTTTTACCATTGAAAGAAAAAAATGGAGCTTTTGTTTATTTCATTGGACCTTTAAAATATTGTGGATGAAAGTGAAGAGTCTCCAAAAGACAATGCTGATGTTAAAATGAAGGAGTACAAACGACTGGAAAAGAAGGCTTTTAGCATGATTGCATCAAATTTGGATGATGCCAACTTTTTATATATAATTACTTGCAATGGATCAGCAGAAGCATAAAAGACTCTTTGTAATATCTATGAGAGTAGAAACCTTGCCAATATTCTTTGAACAAGGAAGAAGTTCTTAATGGTAAAGATAGAAGAAAGAGATGACCTCATGGCTCATGTCAATAAGATAAAAGCACTTGCAAACCAACTTGCAGTTGTTGATAAGTCAGTTGATGATAAAGACATTGTGCTGACATTGCTTATGAGCCTTCTTGAGTCTTATAACTACCTCATTGTGGCATTGAAGTCTATCAATATGAAGGAGCTTACCATGAATTATGTGATATCAAGGCTTCTCCATAAAGTGACCAAGAAGAAAGAAAAAGAGCTTCAAAGTGATGATTTGGTTCTATTTTCAAGACAATGCAAATGTAGATATTTTCATCGATGTGATAATTCAAAAAGTAATATGAGAAATTATTTTATTTATATTAGATAGATAGCATGTTGCTAAAGGCCTTAGAAATGGCAAACTCTACTTTATCAATTGTAAGAATGTGAATAGAGTAGAAGTGGCAGCATTTGCTGATTTTCCACAAGATCAAGACAAGTTTGAAATTTTGCATCAATGATTTTGCCATTTGAATGCCAAAAGCATGAAAGAGCTCCAATCCATAGTAAGTGGCTTGGATCTTGGTAAATTCAAGCACAGTGCCTTCACACTTGCTTGTGAAGGTTGTATACAAGGCAAACAACAAAGGACTTTATTTTCAAGAGGAGTTGCAACATGTATAAGCAAATTGTTGGAGATTGTACATTTTGATGTTTGTGGACTGATAAAGACACCATCAATTGGAAGAACAAGGTACTTTATTACATTTATTGATGATTTTTCAAAAAAAGTATAGATTTATATTATTAAAGTCTAAAATGAATATTTCTTAAGATTTAAAGAGTTTAAAACTCTTATAGAGAAACAATGTGAGTGCAAGTTCAAAGTATTGTACACAAATAATGAAGGTGAATACATATTAAAATATTTTGATGAATTCTTGAAGATTCAAGGAGTTGTAAGACAATCCTCTATTTTCTACACTCCATAACAAAATGAGGTTGCTGAAAGAACAAATTGTACTATTGTAGAGATAGCAAAGAGTATGCTTCATGTACAAAACCTTGAGCATGGATATTAGACAGAAGCAGTGATAAATGCAGTGTATATAAGGAATAGGTTTTCAAGAAAAGCACTCACATCAATGATTCTTTAAAAAGCTTGGAGTGGCAAAAAACCTTGTATTTTATACATGAAGATTTTTGGATTCATTACTGTGATTGCCGTTTTACTTATTCTACAATTCCTTCTAGAATAAACATGTATAGGAGAATTCAAACATAAGGAAAGACTAAGCACATGAGTTTCACTTGTTAGGATCACACAATTAACTATATTCCGAACTACTAAAACACTAAGAAACACTACAATGCTTCTTTCCAGTGACAATACTCCTTCATCAACTGATAACCACAATGTGTAATCCTGCACTCTCAAAAGACTGCTCAAAACTCAATAAATTCTATCCAATACCAAGAATAATAGACTTCACTCCAAGCAATCTGAATTCACAGAATTCCTATAATCACA